CCAGAGACAATGTGTTCTGAAGAATGTTTCCCAGAATTGTTAGACTGGGGAGCCTTATTTCCTTGGTGCATATCACAGGACTGTTGTTCTCAATATCTCATTTTGGGAGGCTTTGATTGATATCGCTGAAGTCCTCTGCCTTAGTGTCCACTTTTGAACATTGTGTGCCTTTTATGACAACCTACTTTCTGTGACAGAGTTTACAGGACTGTATTACAGCAAAATAATGGGTTTGCTACAAGCAACTGAACATTTAACTGGGTTTCCAAAATACAGAACCAGAGTGTTGTAAACATGCATCAGCTGAATACTGCAGTTCAGGAGCAAGCAACCCATGACTGGCATCTGAGGCAGTTTTCCAGAAACTGTTACTTTCTAGACGAAATCTGTTTTCTTACCCACTTTTTTCCTTTCTTACGTGTTTTCACCCGCTCTCTCCTTCTCTCTCATTGTGCTTCATCCTGTCATGTTCTCCAGGTTATTTTTTTCCTGTTGTTGTTATTTGTTTTTATGTTTACTTTTCCATCTCCCACAGGCAAGAGATACCATTTTTTTCCTTACCTCAGTCACCATTTGATTATTAAAAAGTTAATACTTTTTTACTTCATAACAGTTGTTCTCTATAACTTCATTTAATTCTCACATCAAATTAGTTTTAGAGTGAGGTAATCTAAACTCCCTCTAGTTTTTGTTTCTTTAAAGATTAATTTATTGGAGAAAGAGAGTGCATATATGCAGGTAGGGGGAGGGGTGAAGGGAAAAGGGAAGCAGACTTCCCGCTGAGCACAGAGCCCAGCACAGGGCTCTATCCGATGACCCCCGAGATCATGACCTGAGTGAAACCAAGAGTCTGTCACCCAACTGACTGAGCCACCTGGGCACCCCTAGATTTTATTTTTTAACTAGCTTTCTGTACAAAAGAGAATTTGGGTATCTGTTTATTAGTTCTATTAAGTACTCTTCATAATATACAGTGTTCATTGTGCAGAATCTCTGTATGGTGCCAGAAGAACTAGTGGCTAGCATCAATGTTTTATTTAAAGTAGCTAGCTTGATTGTGAAGATTTTATAACACATTTTATCTGTAGGCTCTTTCTATAAAGAATGCTTTAATATGCAATAACCATAGATATTGAGCAAAACTGGACATGAAAGAAATGTTAAAATTGGCACTAAACCACCTGTATGTTTGTGTCTAGGGCCCAGGGGGTAATGCAGTTTGCTTAGCAGTAGCCTGATGGTAGCATCACAAGGAAGTTAGACCATTTTAAAGCATTCAGTCAATTCTTGTTTTTTGTGAGAGCCCTTGGTCACAACAGTTTCATCGGCTGATCAATACATCACCTTGTTTTATGTGTTTTTCTGTCAAAAAATACCTTATTTGACATACATCGTTGATTCATTAACATTAAACTCACAGTCTATAACTCATACCTAACAACACGTACTTTTCTCCATAAGTCACATCACGGCCTTCTCTTTTTTTTTTTTTTTTTTTAAAGATTTTATTTATTTATTTGTCAGAGAGAGAGAGGGAGAGAGAGCAAGCACAGGCAGACAGAATTGCAGGCAGAGGGAGAAGCAGGCTCCCTGAGGAGCAAGGAGCCCGATGTGGGACTCGATCCCAGGACGCTGGGATCATGACCTGAGCCGAAGGCAGCCGCTTAACCAACTGAGCCACCCAGGCGTCCCACATCACGGCCTTCTTATACTTATGTCAGCACTATGCTTGGGAGCCATTTTCAACAGTGAAATCACCAACAAAAACTACAAAAATGCCAAAACATGGCATGAAATACACTGGGAAGAGGTAACTTGTCAACAGTATGAGAGCTGAAACAAGAAGGCAGAATAATGCTTCTTTATGACCTCAGCTGGGAATGTGTAGGTCAGACCACTCAGATTTTTCACAGCTGTATACATGTCTTTGAATGACTTTGAAAGTGCCATAAATATTGATTTTGGAGTTACAAATAAATTTTAGTGAGTGTGTGAATTCACAAATAAGGAACCCATGAATAATGAGGATTGACTAAAATTGTTTCATTAAAGCACTGTTCTTAGGGGAATGTGTCTCCACAAATGTAGGTGCTTAATTCCAATATGCTTTCAAGGTAATAAATAGTTTTTAACTAAAGAACACTTGTTCCCAGTAGCATGTTACCGAATAAACCTAATTTTTCATTATAATAGTTAAAATAATAATGATTTGAATATAGAAACCTTATGGTAAAAACAATAGCAACTATATTATAATAATATCCTTGCAATAGAACCTTACTTCTACCTACATTATTGTTTCCATGGAAAAATTTATTCCAAATTCCAACTGAGATGTCAAAGCCCCTTAGCTTCTTAAGTCCTTAGTCCCAATGATGAGCAGTCCACCATACGCACCTACAGTGTAGGACTTTCGTTTTCCCTCTAGTCTAGTTCTGGGGCTGGGAGCAGAATCGTAGGAGTTGGGCTCTGGACAACAGCACAGAAGGGAGTAGTAGGGGCTTCCACCGAGAAGACAGATTCTTCAAATGACTTTCATGAATAACACCACGATTTTGAGAGAAGCTAGGGGGATGATTGTTAGTACAGCCCCAAACTTGACAGAAGCCATATTTGGAAAACAGGGGCTCTGCTAGAAATAAAATTTTGGACCATGTGGTTCATTGATCTGATCTATTAAAGCATCTTTTTTACTTTCCTTAAGGATCAGTTTGAAAGATAGTATTAATGGTGTTAGAAGAAAAATGCAGATGCTGGTCTTCTCTGTGATGAGCCGTGGTAGGAAGTCTCTGATCAAGAGGATAAACACCTTGCAAGTTTATATCAACTAAGCAATATTATTTATGCTCAATGTTTTCCCACAACATTATTATACTCTGTAATATTTAACAGATATGCATGTGCTCTATGTTCATTTGTATTCACTTAATAGTTAAAAGTTTGAGGTAAAACAGTGATAATTCAAGATAAGAAAATAAGAGGTGGTGTACTAAAACCTTTATAGAGCTTAAAAATGGACCTCATAAGTTTCTTTTAAATGATAGGTTTCTTTTGGGGGAGGAGGCCTTTAATGAGATCTTTCTTGCTAGGTTTCCCAACTTTGAGATCTTTTAATGAATGGACTAGGTATTAAAATAGATTTTAATTCAGTTTAGTTTTTTTAAACTCAGCTGAGTTTTTTATTTAATAAAATAATTTAATTTTAATATATTAATTTAATACAATATATTAATGTGTGACCATTTTTTAATCTTAATTTTATTACAAAAAGAATAATACATATTCTATTTTTAGTAAATAGAGCACCTGGCGGAGAAGGAAAAATATCTTATTTTAAGTCAGAACTCTTCTGTTTCCTTTCCTTAAATGGTCTTTAAATGGATTGGGGACAGTAGCATATATAAACCTCACATTTGGAATTTCAAGTGTGCAGCAGCCTATTAAATGCTCAGAGTAGTCTAGCTGTAAAAAAAACTTTTTTAACTTTATTTGCAAGATTTCTTACATTTCTTTGACTTTGGAGCACCACCCCCCCTCACACCCCAGAAACTTTAGCATCTTGCGGGATTTCATAACTGAGGAACACAGTTGTGGAGATTAGCTTGTCAGAGGCAAGTGGCTCTTCTTCTGGGCATACAGGGGGTTTATGAAACCACCTTGGCACTTCAGTGTGGAAGCAGAAGGAGCCAAATCAACACACTGGGAAACAGTCCATCCTTTCCCTTTTTTTGAGCATGAAAAAAAAGTATTTTTGTACCTTCTCTGGAGAAAGCAATAGGTTTATTCTCCTTCACTCATGTATGTTCTGACTTATATACCCAGGTGACAGGTGGCCTAGAACTATCTTAGGTCTTTTAAGAAAATGCACAAGGACTATATTATACTCTTTTACTGGACATGTTTTTAATGTTTTTAAAATAAGCTTTTCAATAAGTCATTGATCCTGAAACACCAGTTCCATCGTCAACCTTTAAATAAATTTAAATCATTTTAATTAAATCAATGTTTATTACATCACATAAACTTTAGCATTCTTTTCAAAACCAATAAAAAAATAGAATCATAAAACAGTAGACAAACAAATCATAGATTGATTAGTTTTAACACAGGAAGAGCTGAGATTTTAAAAACCTACAGGAAAAAGAATTGTGTACAATTGATTTTTAACCAGCTAATAATAACATTCTAATCAATACAAGAAATCAAGGCATTTGGTTTGATTGTGTGAGAATGTGAAACACATGTATATAATGCAGCTAAAGAAAAAAAATCAAACAATGGGGAAACAGCAAGTGTAACAAAAAGTTGAGGTTTATATTATTAGAATAACCCTTGTAATTTAAGAATACTGTCAAACCCCAGCTAAATAAATGAGAAAAGGACAAGCAGTTGATACATGGGGAAGTTGTCAGCCAGTAAAGAAATTAATTTCCTTCAACCGCTTTCTGCACACCTGTGCCTTATGCTGTGGTTGGTGTTGGAGTTTGAGCGTTGAAGACCACACTCTCAGTCCTTTGGGGAAGGTAGGGAGGCAAGGGACACATGAAACAAAGGAATGCAATGGAGTTGTGAAGATACATTTACAAATGCTCACAAGGCTATGGAAACTGGTTCAACTGGTTTATTTTTCAAAAAATGACAAAAACTGTTTTTTAACCTTACAAATGATCCTAATGAGTTTTTTTTTTTTTTTTTTAAGAAAGGAATAGCTTATAAATTGAGCAGTAGGGCTTAGTCAAGTAAGTAAGATTTCTTAGAGTTACTTTTTGATTTCTTAGAGTTACCTTATGATTAAAATTATAATTATGAAAATATGAATCACTGTCATGAATAGGTGACTATAGTTGTATTCATGCTACCAAATTCAGTTCTATAAAATAAGTATGTACATGGTCATTAATGGTAGTAGGATTATGAGATATTAGAATTTATTTTGCACAATACTTAGTAAAAGAAATTTAAAGACTTGTTTTATTAAAGATGTTTTTTCTTCTTTTTAGCTGACTACACAAGACTCTGCCTTCCCCATATTTCCATAGCCAGCGACATGACCTGACACCTTGATGACCAGTCTCAGGGCCCTTAGGTGACTAGCTGCTACACCATGGAACTTAAAGTATGGGTGGATGGAGTTCAGAGGATTGTTTGTGGGGTCACCGAAGTTACAACTTGCCAGGAGGTTGTAATAGCCTTAGCTCAAGCGATAGGTAAGTGGACTTTCTGGGAATCTGCGAAAAAGTGGTTTATACTTACTCTTGTGGTTTGTGGTTGTTTGTATTAAATATAGATTTCTAGTTTTTTGTTTATTTGGTTCCATAATACAACTTGCAGGTACACTTTTATTTATTACTATTCCCCCATGCTTAAATAAATCTGTAAACACACTTTCTCTCTGTCTCCCCCCAGATTTTACTGACCTTCAGACTAGAGTCTGCACTGCCTTCTGCTCTACTGTTGTTTATCCTAAACAACGATTTGTGGAACTAAAATGTTTTTTTTTTTTTTTTAAGATTTTATTTATTTATTTGACAGAGATCACAAGTAGGCAGAGAGAGAGAGGGAGAAGCAGGCTCCCCACCAAGCAGAGAGCCTGATGCAGGGCTTGATCCTAACCCTGGGATCATGACTTGAGCCAAAGGCAGAGGCTTTAACACACTAAGCCACCCAGGTGCCCCTAAAATGTTTTCTTGAGCTAAAACATGGATTCCTAGTTCCCAGACCCCTGATTAGGAAAAATCCCATTTACTGTTTATTCTGACTACTTTTAGAAAAAAAAAATGCAGCAAATAACATGGTCCTTCAACAGAAAGATAATATGTGCATTTTTAAATCTTACCTTAAAGTGCAGATGAAGTTATCAAGTACATGCTTACTAGCTCCATCTTGTTCACCTACTAAGAAGAAAAGTTGCAACTTTACTTCTCCGTGTGTTTATCTTTATCATTTTTATACATGTTTTTTAGTTGCCTTAACCCTTTTGGAATATGATGAAGGTATAAACATTGCAAAAGCCAATACTGTGGGCTATAGCTTATATTTGCATCTTAAGTCCATCATTTAGCAAACATGTATTAAAAAGAAATTGTTTTCAGCACCTTGTTAGGTGCTTAGTGCTTCTTTGTCTTTGATCGACTAGTCAAGTTTACTTTATGTCATGCTAGTATATACTGGAAACATGTTACATTTGTTTAGGATAGAGAAAAGTCACCCTGCACCGTGACACCTTAGCATTTCGTGGAGGCATTTCTGGCAGTTAAGAAATTGGCAGTGCCCTGTGCAAAGATAGAGACTTTCTTTTAATACTGACATCTTTTGATTTTTCTTAAATACTGTGTAGTACACATATTAAAACAATGATAAAATTCCTAGTCAATGAAATTTTCTTGCATTTTGGCCTAATTATATTTGTGGACTTAAGTTTAATATTTAAAGAAGGGAAAATAAAGGCATTTAATTTTATTTCATATTCTTTGCAACCAACTTATTTAGTAATTATCCCTTTTACAAGCCCGATAAAGAATTCAAAGTAATGATCATAAAGGTACTCACTGGATTTGAGAAAAAAAGTGGATGAACTCAATGAGAACTTCAAGAAAAAGATAGAAACTATAAAAAATAAGCAATTAGAATTGAAGAGTACACTAACTGAAATGAAAAATACACTAGAGGGAATCAGCAGCATATTAGAGGATGCAGAAGAATGGACCAATAATTTGGAAGACGGGAAAATGGAAGGTAACCAACCTTAACAGCAAAAAGAAAGAATAATGATAATAAATAAGAATAGGTTAAGGGAACTCAGTGATATCATTAAGCACAATAACATTCACATTATAGTGACCCCAGAAGAAGAAAAGAAGGAAGGGGACAGAAAACTTATTTGAAGAAGTAATAGCTGAAAACTTCCTTAATCTGGGGGTGGAAACAGATATCCAGGCCCAGGAATCACAGTGCCCCAAACAAAATGAACCCTAGGAGGTCCACACAAAAACACCTAATTAAAATAGCAAAAACTTAAGAGAGAATATTAAAAGCCACAAGAGAAAAGTGAACTCATATAAAGGAAACCCCATAAGGCTATCAGCTGATTTTTCAGCAGAAACTTTTCAGGGCAGAAGAAAGAGGCATGATACATTGAAACTACTAAAAGGAAAAAGCCTACAACCCAGCAAGGTTATGATTCAGAATTGAAGGGGAGATAATTTCCCAGACAAACAAAGGAATTTATCACCACTAAACCAACCTTAATAAGAAATGTTAAAGGGAATTCTTTACATGAAAAGAAAAGACCATAATTAGAAATGAGAAAATTATGAAAGGACAAAAATTCACTGATAAAAATAGTAATCAACTATGTATGAAGCCAATATGAAGGTTAAACACAAAAATAATAAAAGTCAATCATATCTATAAAAATTAGTCAAAGAATACACAAGAAGTAAAATATGATTTCATATACATAAAATATGGATGGGGAATAAAAATTTAGTGTTTTAGAATGTGTTTGAACTTAAGGGATTATCAGCTTAATATAGACTGCTACATACATAGGGTGTTAAATATGAATCCCATAGTAACCACAAATCAAAAATTCCATAGCAGATACACAAAAAAATAAAAAGAAATCCAAGCATAACACTAAGGAAAGTCATCAAACCACAAAGGAAGAGAACAGAAGAAGAAAGGAACAGAGAAGAACTATAAAAACAACCAGAAAATTAACAAAATGGCAATAAGTACATACTGATAATTACTTTATCATTACTTTAATAATTACTTTTAAATATAAATTTAATAATTTATTTTTAATTACTTTAAATATACTTTAATAATTACTTTAAATATAATTACTTTATATATAATTACTTTAAATATAATTACTGTAATAATTACTTTAAATATATTTTAATTTTTATTTACTTTACATTACTTTATAATATTTACTTTAAATATAAATGTACTAAATGCTCTAAGCAAAAAAACATAGGTTGACAAAATGGATTTTTTTTAAAAAGATTTTATCTATTTATTTGACAGAGAGAGATCACAAGTAGGTAGAGAGGCAGGCAGAGAGAGAGAGAGAGAGAGGAGGAAGCAGGCTCCCTGCCAAGCAGAGAACCCAGTGCGAGACTCGATCCCAGGACCCTGAGATCATGACCTGAGCCGAAGGCAGAGGCTTAACCCACTGAGCCACCCAGGCGCCCCAACAAAATGGATTTTAAAAAAATAAATAGATTTTAAAAAAATAAATAGACAAGACACATCTTGTCTTGACAGAAGACACTTATAGACTGAAAGTGAAGGGATAGAAAAAGATAATCCATGGAAATGGAGGTGGAAAAAGAAAAGGTTTAGAGGCAATACTTACATCAGACAAAATAGATATTAAAACAATGTAATAAAAGATAAAGGCATTATATAATGATTAAAAGGGTTCAATCCAAAAGCAAATATTAACAGATTTAAAGGGAGAAATCGGCAGTAATGCAATAACCATAGGGGACTTTAACATCTCATTTATATCAATGTATAGACCCCCCAGACAGAAAATAAGAAAACTGGCTTTGAACCACACATTCAGCCAGATGGACTTCACAAATATATACAGAAATGGTAGAATACACATTCTTTTCAAATGAGCATGAAATATTCTCTAGGATAGATCACATGTTAGGTCACAAAACAAATCTCAATAAATTTAACAAGATTAAGATCATATCTAGCATCTTTTCTGAATACAACAGTATGAAACTAGAAATTAATTACAAGAAAAAAAAAACTGGAAAAACCCAAACACATGGGGACTACACAACCAGTGGGTAAAGAATAGAAGAGGAAATTACAAAAAAAAAAAAAATGCATGGAGACAAATGAAAATGGAAATACAACTGTTCGTTATCTTTGGGACACAGCAAAAGCAGTTCTAAGAGGGATATTTATACCAATACAGGCCTACCTCAAGAAATAAGAAAAATCTCAATCTAACTTACAACTAAAGGACCTAGGAAACAAATAAACAAACAAAGCTCAAAGTTAGTAGAGGAAGGAAATAATAAAAATTAGTGCAGCAATAAGTGAAATAGAGACCAAAAAAAAATTAATAAGAGCTGGTTCTTTGAAAAGATCAAATAGTCAAACCATTAGCCAGATTCTGGAAGAAAAAAAAAATGAAAGTAAATAAAATTATGTATGTATGTATGTATGTATGTATTTATAAATAAAAGTCTGAAATGAAAGAGGAGAAATAATAACTGACACCACAGAAATACAAAAGATTATAAGAATACAGTGAAAAATTAGATGGCAACAAATTGGACAACCTAGAAGAAATGGGGATAAATCTTTAGAAACATAAAATCTTTCAAAATTGAATCAGAAAGAAATAGAAAACCTGAAGAAATACATTACTGGTAAGAAAATTAAACTGGTAATAAAAAAAAATTCCCAACAAACGAAAGTCCAGGACCAGTTGTCTTCATCGGTGAATTCTACCAAACATTTAAAGAGCTAATACCTGTTCTTCTCAAACTATTCCAAAAAAAAGAAAGGAAGAAAAACTTTCAAATTCATTTGACACGGCCAGCCTTTATTACCTTAGTAGCAAAACCAGACAAACACTACAAAGAAAAGAAAACTACAAGCCAGTATCCCTGATGAACACAGATGCAGAAATCCTCAACAGAGCATTAGCAAACTGAATTCAGCAATACATTAAGAGGGTCATTCAGCACCACCAAGTGGGATTTATTTCAGGAATGCAAGGATGGTTCATTATTCACAAATCAATCAATGTGATACCTCGTATTAACAAGAGGGAGGATAAAAAAAATCATATAATTATGTCAATAGATGCAGAAAAAACACTTGACAAAATACATCTGTCTATGATAAAAAACTCTCAATAGAGGGCTTAAGGGGAGCATACCTCAACATAATAAAGGCCATATATGAAAAACCCATAGCTAACATCATACTCAGTGGTGAAAAATTGAAAGCTTTTCTTCTAATATTAGACATAAGACATGTTTACTCTCACCACTTCTATTCAACATAGTACTAGAAGTCCTAGCCACAGCAATCAGAAAAGAAAAAGGAACAAAAGGCATCCACATTCGTAAGGAAGCAATAGAACTCACTATTTGCAGATCACATTGTAACTACATATAGAAAACCCTCAAGACTCCACTAAAAATCTGTTAGAACTAAC